GTTTCACTGTGCTTACTATTCAACCTGACCCCCACCCCCACAAACCTCAGGCAACTACTGACTTCTTTACTGTATGTAGAGTTTGCCTTTTTCAGAATGTCATAATTGGAATTATACATCATGTTGCTTTTTCAGACTAGCTTCTTTCACTTAGCAGTATGCATTTAAGATTTGCTAAGTCTTTTTGTGGCTTGATAGCTCATTTCTTTTAATTGCTGAACAATATTCCATTGTGTGGGTATTCATTTTTGTTTATGTATTGACCTACTGAGAACATTTGGGTTTCTTCAAGTTTTGAGTATGGATAAAGCTGCTATAAACATTTGCATTTAGGGTTTTGTGCATTTGTAAGCTTTCAGATCATTTGGGTAAGTAAGTACCTAGGAGGAGGATTGCCAAATCATATGACATAAATCATAAACATAAATTGCCAAACTATCTTCCAAAGTGGCTGCACTATTCTGCATTTTCACCAGCAATGAAATGAGAATTTCTCTTGTTTCACCTCCTTGCCAGGTTTTTTTTTTAATCATTCTAATGGGTGTATGGTGGTATATTGTTTTTTTAATTTGCAATTATGTAATGGCAAGTGATGTTGAGCATCTTTTTCCATGCTTATTTGCCATCTGAATATCTTTGGTGAGATGTCCAGATCTTTTGCCCATTTTATAATTGAGTAGTTTGTTTTCTTATTGTTGAGTTTGAGTTCTGTGTGTATTTTGGAAACCAGTTTGTTATCAAATATGTATTTTATCAGATAAGTGCTCTGCAAGATAAATTTTCTCCTGATCTGATTTGTCTTTTAATTCTCTTATGTGTCTTTAAGAGTCGAGGTCTTTAATTTCAAAAACGTGACTTATTTTTTTCTTTCATGTGTGAATCTTGCTTTTGATGTATTAAAAGCTCATTGTCAAATCCCCAAGGTCAACTACATTCTGTGTTTTCTTCTAGTCAGCATACTAGTGCAGTATCCTTTATATGCCTACTCAATAAGTATTACCTTTTATTATTTTTATTTTTTATTGATTTTTTTTTCTTTAGAGAGAGAGGTAGAAACGTCAATCAGCTGCCTCCTGAATGCCCCACACTGGGGATCAAGCCTGCAATCCTGGCGTGTGCCCTGACCGGGAATCGAACCGGGACCTCTCAGTCCATGGGACGACGCTCAGTCTGCTGAGCCACACTGGCCAGGCCATAAGTACTACCTTTTATTTTTTATTTATTTATTTTTAATCCTCACCCAAGGATATTTTTCCATATTTTGTTCATATAGAGTGAGAGGGAGGGAGGGAGAGAGAGAGAAACATCGACGTGAAAGGGACACATCGAGTGGCTGCCACCCACACGACCCAGCTAGGGCCGGGGACAAACTGCAACCGAAGTACGTGCCCTTAGCAGGAACCAAACCCGGGTCTGGACCGCAGGCCGATGCTCTAACTGCTGAGCCAAACTGGCCAGGGCCATAAGTACTACCTTTTAAAAGGACTCTGATATGAGGAGTATGGGTAGGAGGACTGAAATGAGGGGAGAATACGCCCTGGCAGGTTTGGCTCAACAGTTGGAGCCTCAGCCTGCGGACCAGAGTTTCCCGCAAGGGGCACGTATCAAAAAAAAAAAAAAAAAAAAAAGCTCATGAAATGAGGGGAGATAGTGTTTCTTGATAATGTCGAATTTTCAGTAACAGTGGATAATTAGATCATCTTAAAATATAATCTTCAGCCCTGGCCCATTTGGCTCAGTGGTTAGAGCGTTGGCCCGTGGACCAGAGAGTCCTGGGTTCAGTTCCCACTAAGGGCATGTACCTCAGTTGCAGTTTGCCCCCCACCCTGGTTGGGGTCATGTGGGTGGTGACTAGTCAATGTGTCTCTTTCACATTAATGTTTCTCTCTCTCTCTCTCTCTCTCTCTCTCTCTCTCTCTCTCTCTCTCTCTCTGTCTCTCTCTCTCTCCCCCTCCTGCTCTTTCTGAAGATAAATGCAAATGTCCTCGGGTGAGGATTAAAAAAAAATTATACACACACACGTACACATATACATATATAATCTTCAGTTGTAACTGTGGACAGGTCTCTAACAACACTTGGAACATTTAAGATGGCTTAATAGTGTCTCTTGGTATTACCTATTTACTGCAGTGTTTTCTTGGGAATATTGGCAAATTCCAGTTGTTAAGACAGCATATGTAAAGCCAGTAATGGCTAAGGCTTACGACTGCACATCTGTGAGAACCAATTTGTCATAGATGGCAATGGTTCCTCATAGCTTAAACAACCCTCTGAATAATGTGAAAGTAAAAGATGAGGACTTGCACACTTCTCTTACTTTAAAAAATAGGTTCTGCAGTGAGGGATGTAGGGGAAATGGTGATGGGAGAGAAATTCATTTTCTGAAGTTTGCTGAAGACTTATGTTGTTGCTGATAGGGCCTGTAGCCTCTGCCACCAGAAAACTTTTCCTTTCAAATCAGAACATTCTGACTCCCCCATGTAGATGCCTTCTTTCCCCCAGGTTCCTTGGTCCATCAACCTGGCCTAGGTTTTGTGCTGTTGCACCCTCCCTCACTAAACCCTACTTGAACCTTCTATTCTAGACCATTGTGGTTAGTGCTCTTTCTGACTGATCTTCCTGTCTTTTGTCTCTCTCACACCTCCTTAGTATTCAGCTACATAGTAACATTCAGTCTCATGTAATAGTAATAATAGGATTTGGAGTCTCTGATTCAGTTTTTTTATTTTTATTTATTTTTTATCCTTACCTGAGGACCTTTTTTTTTTGGCATTTATCTTGTGATAGAGCAGGAGGGAGAGAAGGAGGAAAAGAGAGAGAAACATCTATGTGAAAGAGACACATCGAGTGGTTGCCACCCACATGACCCCAACTGGGTCCAGGGACAAACCGCAACTGAGGAACATGCCCTTAGCGGCAACTGAACCCAGGCCTCTCTGGTCCGCGGGCCGGTGCTCTAACCACTGAGCAAAAACCAGCCAGGGCTGATTCAGTTTTTTGTTGTGATAATGAGTAGGATATTTTATTTATTTATTTTTTAGAGAGAGAGAGGAAGGGAGAAAGTGATAGGAACATTGATGTGAGAGAGAAACATCAATCGGCTGTCTCCTACACACCCCCTACTTGGGATTGAGCCTGCAGTCCAGGCATGTGTCCTGACCTGGAATCAAACCAGGACCTATCAGTCCGTGAGACGATGCTCAATAAACTGAGCCACACTGGCCGGGCATGAGTAGGGTATTTTAATTTCACTAAGTTCCTAGTGTGTAAAATGAAATGAGAGTAATACCTCATGAGAGGCTAACATGAAACAATGTATATGAAAGTTTTATAAACTGGAAAACAAAGCACAGATGAATTATTCATAAATCCTAAGCAAGTTTGATCCCCGGTTAGGCCACATATGAGGATCAACCAATGAATGCATAAATAAGTGGAACAAATCAGTGTTTCTCTCTCTCTCGTCAATAAATAAGTCAAACCCATAACCATGGCATAGAGAGACGATGCTCTAACCAGCCAGGGTAGTTTTCTTGCCTTTTTATTGTGATCACACATAAGATTTGCCATCTAAACCATTATTAAGTATACAATTCAGTCAGTGGCATTAGGTACATTCACATTATTGTGCATCCATTACCTCCATCTATTTATAGAACTCTTTTTATCTTGCAGAATTGAAACTATACTACGTACTGCCATATCATTTTGTGCATCCATGTGGCTCAGTTTTTATGTCTTAGAATCTGTAGTCCTTGGAAAGGGAACACACTGACAGTCTAATACAATACACAAGGCACTTAATTGTTTAGAAAATGCATATAAAAGTAGCAAGTCCTTGGTTTTGTTTTGTTTTTCCTTTTTATTAGATAATTATTTTTTTTACTGATGTTCCTCCTTTCCCCCCCATTGACACCCTCCACCCCACTCCCATCCCACTCTCTGCCTTCATTGTGCTGTTGTCTGTGTCCATTGGTTATGCATATATGCATATAAATTCTTTGGTTTATCTCTTCCCACAGTCCCACCCTTCTTCCCTCTGAGGTTTGTCAGTCTGTTCCCTATATCCATGTCTCTGGATCTATTTTGTTCATCAGCTTATTTTGTTCATTATATAATACAGGTAAGTGAGATCGTGTGATATTTGTCTTTCTCTGATTGGCTTATTTCACTTAGCATAATACTCTCCAGGTCCCTCCTTGTCATCTCAAAGGGTACGATCCTTGTTTTAATTTTTTTGTTGTTGAGTCTTCAAACACTAATTTAAAATTATACCTACACTTGATGGTCTTTGAACAACAGCAGCAGTATCTGTATTAAGTATTTAATGTGAGGCTAGTTCTTCTGTGATCATTTCATTGTAAAGTTTTAATCAGTACTCATAAATTAATACATGAAAGGGGATTTTGTCATTTGTCGAGCTTTTTATTTTTTAATATTTTTTCTTTACTGGTTTTTAGAGAGAGAGGAAAGGAGAGAGGGAGAGAGATAGAAACATCAAAGAGGGAGAACATTGACTGGCTGCCCCCTGCATACCCCCCGCCACTGGGGATCAGGCTCACAACCTGGGCATGTGCCCTGACTGGGAATGGAACCAAAGACCTCTGGGTGCAGGGGTCCACGCTCAACTACTGAGCCAAACCGGCCGGGCCACTTGTTGGGCTTTTACAAATGCCAGAGGTTAATTTGAAATTGTATTTGAACATTCTAGCTCTGTGAAGCTAACATGATATAAAGACAGTTAATTATGTTTGTTTTTTAGGACAATTGTTTGTATGTTTTATTTTGAAATTTTCTTGAAATTGAATCTTTTACAGTAAAACTGATTTTAGGAAAATCCCTTAGTCTCTGGGCTTACTTTCTTTATTTGTTAAATGAAATATTCACTATTTAGTTCTGATTTGAAAGCCTTAATTTTAAGTGAGAGGGGTTTAGTAGGTCTTTACAGAATTTTAAAAAGGAGGGGATACATTGAACTTACTTTGCTCGTGTTATAGGTAGATCATGGAAGAGAAGTGGTTGCTGTGTGTGTTACTAGTCCTTGGAACTACTGTCATTCAGGCTCATGAGGGCCATGATGATGATGTGATTGATATTGAGGATGACCTAGATGATGTCATTGAAGAGGTAGAAGACTCAAAACCAAAGACCAGCACTCCTCAATCTCCAAAGGTTTGAAGTAGTCTTTGAATCTATTTGTTTTACCTCTTGAAATAATCAAAGGGTGAAGGTAAATTTGGATAATTTTCAAAGGGAAAGCTAATATGCTAAAATACTTATTCATCTTTCTGGCAGCCTTTGTTATATTTTACCAAAGATAAATTACATGGATTTCATTCAAGGACCAGCTAGGAGAGTTTTGTAGTAATTGAGAATAAATAGAGAATAAATCCTATTAAGAAAGGAATGTTGTTGAAAATTTCAATTCTTAATTCATTTTTATATGACACAGGTCACCTACAAAGCTCCAGTTCCAACAGGAGAAGTGTATTTTGCTGATTCCTTTGACAGAGGAACTCTGTCTGGGTAAGTGTTTCTTAAGAGGGGAAAAATCTTAGAGGTAAACCTGTAAATAGGGGAATAGTGAATTCCTTTTATTTTTATTTTTTTGCTTTTCCTCAACTGAGGATATGCTTTTCTATTGGTATGTGTATATATGTATATTTTTTTAGAGAGGGGTGGGGCGTGAGAAAGAAACATCAATTGGTTGCCTCCAGTACGTGCCTTGGCCGGGGATTGAACCCACTCCTGGGAATATGCCCTGACTGGGAATTGAACCCCACCACCTTTTGGTGTATGGGATGATGCTCCCACCAACTGAGCCACACCGGCCAGGGCTAGTGGTTTCCTTTTAGAATAGCGTCTTAATAGTGAAATGGCCATAACTGTTTTATATCCCTAGTGTTCATGTCCATTTAGGAAAATCGTCTTTTAGAACATGTGGTTCACTTTTCCATTTCTCTCTTTCTCTTCCACCCTATATTTTATTCTTTGATTGAGGAAATTTTTTTCTCTTGAGTCTTAAAAAGTTTGATACTTTTTCTTACAGGTTTGTGAATTGAGTACAATATATTATCCCTACTTAAATAACAGATTTAAAAGTAGAGTGGTTAGTTAAGAAGGCTAGAAAGAGCTGGAAAGAGATCCTGCTTTTATTAGTATTTACATTGTTTCTTTTCACAGGTCAACTATCATTTGGACGTTAATTTTGGGATTTGTCTTAATTACAGGTGGATTTTATCCAAAGCCAAGAAAGATGACACTGATGATGAAATTGCCAAATATGATGGTGAGAATTCATTTGTTTGAAATAATAATAGGAAGTTGAGGTTTGAAGTGTTTCCATGGTATCTCTTAAGACTAGTTTAAAAGGAGTATCTGCATTTTAAGATTTTTTTTCCTTTGAAGTTTTGCTATCACTATATTTTATAGGGTTAGACCTGTTTCATATCATAAAATGTAATCTATCACCTATAGTGTTGTATTTTGGAAATGGAAGGTGTTTTTTAAGCATTGGTAAAAGAAATATGTTACAGGTTTTAAAAAAAACATATCTTAATATTTGTCAAATATATGTGTGTGTAATAGTAATAGGCCAGCTTTCATAGGTAAATGGAATATGTTAAAATATGTTGGTATGATAGACTTGCACAACTTGGAGTTTTGTTTGCTACCATTTAAAGAACCTTCAAAGGTATAGTTAAGGAGTGGAACTTTTTTGTGTGTGTTGTAGGAAAATGGGAGGTAGATGAAATGAAGGAAACAAAACTTCCAGGTGACAAAGGACTTGTTTTGTTGTCTCGGGCCAAGCACCATGCCATCTCTGCTAAACTGAACAAGCCCTTCCTGTTTGATACCAAGCCTCTCATTGTTCAGTAAGTGAAATACTCCTTTGATAGAAGCTTTCTAGGAAGGGTGATCTCAGAAGATATATTATAAAACTTACTCTAGCCTGGCCAGTATGACTCAGTGGTTGAACATCATTCCATGCATCAAGAGGTTGTCGGTTCGATTCCCGGTCAGGGCATATGCCCAGCTTGTGGGCCCATTCCCTACTTGGGGGCATGCCGGAGGCAGCCAGTCAGTGTTCTCTCTCATCGATGTTTCTCTCTCTCCCCCCCTCTTCTTTCCTCTCTCTCCCTCAAAATCAATTTTTAAAAAGAATAAATCTTATTAAAGAAAACTTACTCTACAGTAAAAAAACAATTATGAGAATTGCTGTCTGTTACAGTAGGGATTTTTTAGTGTATTTAGGCATCCTGTAATGTAATATTATTTTCCTGCCCAATATGTTATTCTGAAAGAAACTGGCTATTTTTCCTTCTAATAGCAAATGAACTTTTGAATTTTATAAAAGTATTTACTGGGAATCTGCATTAAGATTTTATTTTGTTTTATTCTACTTATTTATTTATTTTGGAGGGATTGGTAAACCATTTAAAAGCAATAGGACCCCTGGCCGGTTTGGCTCAGCGGTTAGAGCATCAGCCCACAGAAACAGATTGATGAACCTCAGAGGAGAGGGGTTTGGGAAGAAATAAACCAAAGAACTTATATGTCTATATACATAACCAATAAACATAGATTATAGTGTGGGGAAGGAAGGAGGGAGGGGAGGAGGGGTTCAGTGGGGGAAAAAAGGGGGAACATCTGTAATACTTTCAATAATAAAGATTTAAAAAAAAAAAAAAAGGGCAATAGGAGATGGAATCTTTCCTAAGGATAAACATATGACCTGTGATAAAATGTGAGACCAAGCCCTGGCTGGTTTGGTTCAGTGGTGAGAGCATTGGCCTGCGAACCAGAGAGTTCCAGGTTCGGTTCCCGCTAAGGACACACAACTAGGTTGTAGTTTATCCCCGGCCCCGGTTGGGGTTGTGTGGGTGGCAGCTACTTGATGTGCCTCTCACATCAATGTTTCTGTCTCTTCCCCCCTTTCTCCCTCCTGCTCTATCTGAAGATAAATGCAAAAATGTCCTTGGGTGAGGATTGGGGAAAAAAAATATGAAACCAAGATGGGAAAAGGAGTAAGAAATTTGATATTTTAAAATGCCATATGGTTTTCTGCTTTTCTCTCTGATTAGGTATGAAGTTAATTTCCAAAATGGAATAGAATGTGGTGGTGCCTATGTGAAACTACTTTCTAAAACCCCAGAACTCAACTTGGTAGGTACTTCCTATTTCTTTATGTGACCACCATGATTATCTTTCAAGTACCTTAAAGGAAAGGAAAGAAAATTTTGTAAGATATGTAAAAATAAAGGCCTTTTCTGCTGTTAAAATATTTTGGAGGGCTGGTAATACTGATTTTGATATTTCTGTGCTTTTTATTTGAAATACGAATTTCAGGACTCTTCTGTCTTATCTCTGGTTTCTGTTCTGTGTAATCTTTAGTTTTAGCAAACATATTTCTTTGTTTTATGAAAGAAGCAGTAACTATGTAGATATATGCATTGCTTTGTTTTTTTAAGCACTTCCATAATATTCTTATGTAAAATTTCCGTTTATTACTTTTCACTGGTATCTATATGAATCTCATAAATGAGTCAGCTTTTCTTTTCTTTTCTTTTCTTTTATTTTGTAATTTTTCAATTACATTTGACATTCAGTATTACTTTATTAGTTTCAGGTGTATAGTATAATGGTTAGACGTTTATATGATTTACAAAGTGGATCCCTCTATAAGTCTAGTACCCACCTGACAACATACATAGTTATTTATAATATTGCCTATATTCCCTATGCTGTACTTTATATATCCCTGTGACTCTTTTGTAACTACCAATTTGTACTTAATCCTTTTACCATTTTACTCAACTCCCCAGCCCGCTTCCCATCTGGCAACCATCAGTTTGTTCTCTGTAGTAATAAGTCTGTTTCTGTTTTGATCATTTTTGTTCTTTAGATTCCACATGTAGGTAAAATTATGGTCTGTCTTTCTCTGTCTGACTTAATTTCACTTAGCGTAACACCCTTTAGGTCTATCCATGCTGCCACAAATCAGCTTTTCTTTTAATGTGACACTAATTTATTTGGTATTTTATAAGAGGAAGTATCACACTTTTGAAAAGTTGAACACTTTGATTTACTTAAAATAATACCTTTTTATTTTTTTTAATCTGAAGGACCAGTTCCATGACAAGACCCCTTATACAATCATGTTTGGTCCAGATAAATGTGGAGAGGACTATAAATTGCACTTCATCTTCCGCCACAAAAACCCCAAAACGGGTGTATACGAAGAAAAGCATGCTAAGAGGCCAGATGCAGATCTGAAGACCTATTTTACTGATAAGAAAACACATCTTTATACATTAAGTAAGAAAAACCATTAATTTTGGGGGTTTATGGCACTACAGATTTATCATTTAATGTAAAGATTGCACACCTAGAGAAAACCTGTTGACTTAATATCTCAGTAGTGAAATGAACTTAATGTCTCAGCACAAAAAGAAGCTTCTCTTCCATAATTCGAATTAAGAATAGAGGTTTGGCCCGGCCTGTGTGGCTCAAAGGTTGAGCGTCAACCCTTGCACCAAGAGGTTGCCAGTTCGGTTCCCAGTCAGGGCACATACATGCCTATGTTGTGGGCCCAGTCCCCAGTGAGGGGCATGCAGGAGGCGGCCAATTGATGTTTTTATCTTTCTCCCTCTCCCTCTCCCTTCCTCTCTCTCTCTCTAAAATCAATAAAGAAAAAATATCAAAAAGAATAGGAGGTTTGAGACATTTTGAGAATAAACTTTTATGTCCCATAAAGAGCTTCTTTGCTGATACCCTCATTTCCACCCTTTGTCTATTTTTTTGTTGATAAAATGTTAAGTAATAGAACATATAATAGAAATATATGCACAGTGTTTATAAATTATCTTTTAGTTGAAGTTTGCTTGGATGTTCCAGCACTTAGATAATTGAATTTAATTATTTGCACATTAGAGTGGGATTTTTATTTTATTTTATTTATTTATTTTTATCCTCACCTGAGGACATTTTTCCATTTTTTTATTCAGATAGAGCGGGAGGGAGAGAGACAAGAGAGAGAGAGAAACATCGATGTGAAAGGGACACATCGAGTGGCCGCCACCCGCACGACCCAACCAGGGCCGGGGACAAACTGCAGCCAAGTTACATGCCCTTAGCGGGAACCGAACCTGGGTCTCCGTGGACCGCAGGCTGATGCTCTAACCACTGAGCAAAACTGGCCAGGGCAGAACGGGATTTTTATTTTAATGAAGCTTTCCCCTGGTTTGAGATCACATATATACATGCCTCTTTTCTTAAAGAATACAATAACCTTTTTTCTTTATGACAAAAGTAATACATATTCAGTATAAAGATTCAGAAGATAAATAAATATAAAGAAGATATTTAGGGTTATCTGAAATATTATGATATGTATTGACCGTTTGTGAATAAACACATGTATGTGTATAATAAGCACAGATGTAATATTTTAATAAAAGTTAAATACTGTATATTGCACTTGCTATCATCACAAAAGTGCAGGAATTTTTCCATTTGAGTACATGTTGATAACCTTGCTAACTTAATTATTCCTGTGAACAGCAGCATAGTATTCCATTGTCTTCCATAGTATTCTGGATGTTCTGTGACCCAGTCAGTTGCCAATTAGACATGTGGATGTGAGATCCAGTCTTTAGCATAATCAGATTTAAGATACCTTTATGGATTTAAAATAGTATTTGCTTTATTCTCCATTGGACTCCAAACGCACAACCATGAGTAGACATATGGTTTAATAAATAAAAGGTTTGTGTAATTTGAAATTTTGATGACATAGATGGTAATACCAACTCAAAATAAGGAAATAGACTTTTACTGAGGATGGCTATAATAAACATATTTGCCTATTGACTGCTGTGTACCATTTATGTCAGACCAATATTACATTAGTTTATGTACCTTTGGTTTTTTTATGCTTTTAATGTCCATAAATGAAGTCTTTTGATGTTTAAAATTTTATCTGTTATCTGTTTTAATTCCTAAAAATCTGAGGAACTAGCTTTTATGATTAACTTTCCCAAGGTCTCAAGCATGTTCTGACTTTGTTGCCTCAGGTCTTGACTTCATGCTTCTGCTTTCTGTTATAAATATGATGTTTTGTGTTTTGGTAAAGAGAGCTTTGGAATGAGTGGCTAATTAACTTTTTAAAATTACACTTAACTTTTTTTAGTCTTGAATCCAGATAATAGTTTTGAAATATTAGTGGACCAATCTCTTGTGAACAGTGGAAATCTACTAAATGACATGACTCCTCCTGTAAATCCTTCACGTGAAATTGAGGACCCAGAAGACCGGAAACCTGAGGATTGGGATGAAAGACCAAAAATACCAGATCCTGATGCTGTCAAACCAGATGATTGGTGAGTCTTTGAGTGCACTGGAGCGTTTTGTATATTCTGCATGGCTTGAACAGATCTGATATGATAATTTTAATAATCTATGATGTAATTCAAATGGTAGGAAAAACATATACTACTTTAGCTGAAAGGGGAGCCATACAGATCATCTGGATTGCCTCACACCATTTTACAAACCACAGAATGCTGAAATTGATGAGTTTGCCTGTGCTGACATGGTTGGTTTTTGGCAAAATCTCAGTTCTCTTGTCTTGGCCTTTCAAATGCTTCTATGAATTCACATTGAAAGCTTGAGTCCTGAGATTTTAAATTTTAATTTGAAAAATAATCTTATTCCTATTTAAATAAAATTTAAGAGATCTGTGCTTTGTGTGGAATACAAGGGACATGAGGTTCCCACACAGCTCCCAGTTCAGCAGGTAAATGAAGTTTATATTCATGTGGTGAGTGGTCTGATAGTAGGTGTGACTCAGTGATTAGAGCACCAGGTATACCTAATCCAGGAGTGGTTTCTTGGGGCAATGACAATCAAATTGAGACTTGAAAGTGGGGTGAGAGTTAACTAAGTGGTAAAGATGGGAAATGGTATTCCTGGTTAAAGAAGCACATCATGTGTAGAAGTAGAGGAACAGGGATGAGCTCAATATGTATGAGGGAAGTTGAGTATTTGTGGTCTTTTTGAATAGGGTACAACTGGAGAGGGAGAAATGAAAACTGGCTTTTGGAAATGTCAGAAAGTGAACAAAGAGAAATAAAACATATCTTCGATTTTTTTTGTAAAAGTATCTCCTTAAGCTTAGCAGTGAAATTGTAGTTAGTGTTTTTCTTCCCTCATATTAAGGTATGGGTTCCTGGACTTTTATGTTTCATTAGTGTAAATGCCAATACTTGTGTATTTGGTGAACATTAGATGTGGACTCAGCCTTGTTGTTTAGTATTGTATTCCTTAATTAGCTGTTTTATTTTGGTGAAAAGGGTGTGAATGTTCTGCTAATAAAGGTCATCTGAATGTTATAGACAATTAGGTTCTCACACAATTAATTTAAAACTAGCATAGTTCAGCCCGGGCCAGTTTGGCTCAGCGATTAGAGCATCGGCCCACCGTCCAGAGGGATCCGGGTTTGGTTTCTGCTAAGAGCACGTACCTCGGTTGCAGTTTGTCCCTGGCCCTGGTTAGGGTCGTGTGGGTGGCAGTCAGTTGATGTGTCTCTCTCACATCAATGTTGCTCTCTCTCTCTTCCTCCTTTTCTCCCTCCCACTCTATCTAAAGATAAATGCAAAAAAAAAAGTATCCTCGTGTGAGGATAAAAAAATTAAATAAATAAAATAAAACTAGAATAGTTCAAAAATAAGTATATGAACAAGGATAGATTATTTGCTTACCAACTAAAGAGGCATCATCTTTCAGTAACTGCATGAAACTCTGAAAATTGGTACTTCTTGATGAACTTTTATTTTAGAAGTAACTGTTTGAGTTATTAACATACTAAAATCAACCCTTTCATTTTTTTAATTTATTTTAATTAATTTATTTCTTAAGTCTTACCTGAGAACATACTTAGAGAGAGGAAGAGGGGGAGAGACACAAAAGCAGTGATATGAGAAAGAAATATTGATTGGTTACCTCCCTTACACACCTGACTGGGGATTGAACCGGCAACATTTGGTGCATAGGATGATGCTCTCAGCCAGGACTTTTTTTTTTTCTTTAATGTTTTTATTGATCTTTAGGGAGAGAGGAAGAGAGAGGGAGAGATAGAAACATCTATGGGCTGCTTCCTGTACGCCTCCTATTGGGGATCAAGCTCGAAATCCAAGCATGTGCCCTAACCGGGAATTGAACCAGGAACCTCTTGGTGCATGGGTTGATGTGCAACCACTTAGCCACACTAGCTGGGCTTTTATTTTTTTAAATCCTCATCCAAGGATTTTTTTTTTTTTTTAATCCTCACCTGAGGACATTCTTCCATTTTTCTGCTCAGGTAGAGTGGGAGGGAGAGAGAGAGAGAGAAACATCGACGTGAAAGAGACACATCGAGTGGCTGCCACCCGCACGACCAACCAGGGCCGGGGACAAACTGCAACCGAGGTACACGCCATTAGCGGGAACCGAACCCAGGTCTCTCTGGACCACAGGCCAGTGCTCTAACCACTGAGCAAAACCAGCCAGAGCCCAAGGATTTTTTTAAATTGATTTTAGAGAGCAGGGAAGGGAGAGAAAGAGATGCATAGAAACATCCATGTGAGAGAGATACATCAATCACCTGCCTCCTGCACACCCCTCAATGGAGATTGAGCCTGAAACCCAGTTATGTGCTCTGACTAGGAACTGAATTGATGACCTTTTGGTCCTTGGGTTGACCCTCAACCACTGAGCTATACTGGATGGGCTAGGCTTTTTATTTATTTACTTATTTTTTAGAGAAAGAGAGAGATAAAAACATGGATGAGCCCTGGCCGGTTTGGCTCAGCGGTTAGAGCGTCAGCCTGTGTTCCAGAGAGACCCGGATTTGGTTCCTGCTAAGGGCACGTACTTTCGTAGCAATTTGTCCCTGGCACTGGTTGGGTCATGCGGGTGGCAAACCACTCAATGTGTCCCTTTCGTGTCGATGTTTCTCTCTCTCTCTCTCTCTCTCTCTCTCTCTCCTTCCCACTCTATCTGAAGAAAAAATGGAAAAATGTCCTTGGATGAGGATTAAAAAAAAAAAAAAGAAACATGGATGAGATAGGAACATCAATTGACCGCCTACTGCATGCCCCCTACTGGGGATCGAGCCCAAATCCTGGGCATGTGCCCTGACTGGAAATCAAACTGGGACCTCTCAGTCGATGGGACAACGCTCAATCCACTAAGCCACACTGGCTGGGCTGCTTCATTTCTTTCTTTCTTTCTTTTTTTTTTTAATATCCTCATCCAAGGACATTTTTGTATTTATCTTCAGATAGAGTGGGAGGGAGAGAGTGGGTGAGAGAGAGAGAGAGAGAGAAACATCGAGTAGCCACCACCCACACAACCCCAACTGAGGCCGGGGACAAATTGCAACAGAGGTATGTGCCCTTAGCAGAAACTGAACTCAGGACTCTCTGTCTGAAGTCTGACACTCTAACCACTGAGCAACCCAGCCAGGGTTGCTTCATTTCTTTTTTTATCCTCACCCGAGGACATTTTTCCACTTTTCAGATAGAGAGAGAGGGAGAGAAACATCGACGTGAAAGGGACACATCGAGTGACTGCCACCCGCTCGACCAACCTGGGCTGGGGACAAACTGCAACTGAGGTACCTGCCCCTAGCAGGAACTGAACCTGGGTCTCTGGACTGCAGGCCGACGCTCTAACCACTGAGCAAAACGGGCCAGGGCTCTTTTTATGACTGAATATTGTTCCATTGTGTAGATAACACCATTTTTTTTTTAATCCTCATCTGAGGACATTTTTATTTTATTTTTTGCTTTTATCTTCAGATAGAATGGGAGGGAGAAAGGGAAAGCGAGCGAGAGAGAAACATCGATGTGAGAGAGACACATCAAGTGGCTGTCATCCACACGACCCCAACCAGGGTCAGGGACAAACTGCAACTGAGGTACGTGCCATTAATAGGAACCAAACTTGGGACTCTCTGGTCCGCTGGCCAATGCTCTAATCGCTGAGCCAAACCGGCCAGAGCAAGAAATCAGCTGACAGTCTTATGAGAGCTCCTTTGTATGTAATGAACTGCTTTTCTTTTGTTGCTTTTAAGATTCTATCTTTGTCTTTAACTTTTTGCATTCTGATGATGATGTGTCTTGGTGTGGACCTCTTTGGGTTCATCTTGTTTGGGGCTCTCTGTGCTTCCTGGACTTGTATGTCTGTTACCTTCACCGGGAAGTTTTCTGTCATTATTTTTTCAAATAGGTTTTCAATTTTTTGCTCTCTCTCTCTCTCTCCTCCTTCTGGCACCCCCTGATACGAATATTGGCACACTTGAAATTGTCCCAGAAGTTTCTTACACTATCCTAATTTTTTGGATTCTTTTTTCTTTTTTCTTTTCTGATTGGGTACTTTTTGCTTCATTGTATGCTAAATTGATGGTTTGCTTCTTTACTTTCTTTATTATTTATTCCCTGTAAATTATTCTTTATTTCAGTTAATGCATCCTTCATTTCTGACTGGTAATTTTGATGTGGTGGTGGGAAGAGACAAGAGATCTGAGTTTACCTATGCCACCATCTTTACTGGAAGTAGATAATGCCAATTTTATGTATCCATTTGTTAGTTGACTTTTAGGTTGCTTTCCCTTTTTGGCTATGCTTATGACTAATGTTTCTGTGGATATCCTTGCATATAGGTTTTTGGGTAGATATGCATTTTTATTTCCCTTGAATATATACTTAGGAGTAGAATAGCTGGGTTTTACGGTAACTCAGTGTTTAACTTTTTGATGAATTACCAGACTATTTTCCAAGGTACTGCACCATTTTGCTTTCCTACAAGCAACGCATGAGGGTTTCACTTTCTCCACATTCTCACCAATACTTGTTTTTGTCAGTCTATAAGATATTCTAATGGCTATGAACTGGTAACGGATTGTGGTTTTGGTTTGCATTTCCCTGATGGCTAATGATATTTAATATCTTTTAATGTGTTTATTGGCCGTTTGTATATCTGTTCAAATTCTTCGCCAGTTTTTTAATTGTTGTGTTGTAAAAGTTCTTTATATATTCTGGATATTAGGCCCTTAACAGATGCATGATTTGCAAATAATTTCTAGGAAGAATTTTAAGTTTGGAAGTAAGTAAGACCTAAAATATTTTTAGATTGTCCTGTTTCACATTGTGATTCTCTGGCCATTGTCATAATTGGCTTTTTCTTTTGTGTTTAAGGGATGAAGATGCTCCTGCTAAAATCCCTGATGAAGAAGCCACAAAGCCTGAAGGCTGGTTAGATGATGAGCCTGAATATGTAGCTGATCCCGATGCAGAAAAGCCAGAGGATTGGTAAGAGAGAGCTTCAGTTAACTTTTTAAATTGCTTGCTTTTTTATTGAAAGTTTATACTTTCAATAGAAGTATAGATAGCCGAGTGCTCAAATTTAGTGTAGAGCGCAACAGATTTAATTATTTTTTTATCTTTCTGTTTTTCACCTCTCTTGAGAAGCCGTGGTTACTAGAAATGCAGAAACAGCACGGTGCTCTATAGTATGACACTGAAAGTATTCCTACAGTATTTCAGGGGAGCCCTGGGATGGCAGTGCATCACAGAACCCATTTGTAATTGGCTTATTTGTCCACAGGGATGAAGATATGGATGGAGAATGGGAGGCCCCTCAGATTGCTAACCCTAAGTGTGAGTTGGCCCCTGGGTGTGGTGTTTGGCAGCGACCTATGATTGACAACCCTAACTATAAGGGCAAGTGGAAGCCCCCCATGATTGACAACCCTAACTACCAGGTGTGTATGTGTCTCTTTTTTTTATCCTCACCCAAGGATATTTTTTCATTTATTTTCAGATAGAGAGGGAGGGAGAAAGGGAGAGAGAGAGAGAGAGAAACATTGATGTGAGAGAGACACATCGACTGGCTGTCTCCCGCACAACCCTGACCAGGCCTGGGGACAAACTGCAATCAAGGTAAGTACCCTTGACCAGAATTTAACCTGCCACTCTTTGGTCCGCAGGCCGACTCTTTGGTCCACTCTAACTGCTGAGCCAAACTGGCCAGGGCTGTCTCTCTCTCTCTCTCTCTCTTTTTTTTTATTAATTATTTTAATCCTCACCTGAGGATATTTTTCCATTTATCTTCAGATGGAGTGGGAGGGAGGGCGAGAGAGAGAGAAACAACAGCATGAGAGAGACGCATCGACTGGTTGCTTCTGGGCAAGACCCAACTAGGGCTGGGGACTGAGCTGCAACTGAGGTACATGCCCTTGACCAGAATTGAACCCGAGACTCTCTTTGGTCCACGGGCTGACGCTATAACTGCTGAGCCACACAGGCCTGGGCTTGTGTCTCTTTTTTTAATCCTCACCTGATGATATGTTTTACTGATTTTGTGGGGAGTGTATCGATTGGTTATTTCCCCTATATACTATTACTGGGGAATGTATGGGACAATGCTCCAACCAGCTGAGCCATACAGGCCAGGACAAGGAGTGTGTGTCTCTGTGCTTCATTGATTTGGTTTCACATTGTCTGTAGTGAGGCTTCTAGGTTGATCACTATTTTCAAACTATTCAATTACAAACAAAGGAAACAAATTGAGAGAGGACTTAATGTATTCAGTGTTGAAAAGATCAACCTAGAAACTGGAAAGTTTCATAACCTGCTTTTTAACTTAGATTTGAAAACAAAAGACAAGTGGAAAACTTGCGATTTGGGTACCTTGGTATTATATGGCAGGGGTGCTGCAGCTGTGTGGTGGGATGGAAAGAGGACTGATGGGAGTTAGCACCCCAACCACAAGTCAGCTTGTTGCTTGACCTCAGTGTTATCAACTGAAAAAAGACTGAGATTCAAATGAGATTGTAAGAATACAGGTAGTGATGTTGTTAAAACTTCACCTTTACTATGGATATGTACTTACTCAGACCCTAGTCTCACTTCTGTTTTTATCCTAGTCAAATTGTTTATACTTGTTAATTTTCACTTTGCCACAATTAATGTAAGACCTAGGTATATCTATGCGTACACTGTGGCTATGTGTATACTTTTGGTTTTTGTTTTGTTAATCCTAACCCAAGGATATTTTACCATTTATTTTTAGATAGAGTGCGAGGGGGGGAGGGAGGAAGGGAGAGAGAAACGTCTATGTGAGAGGAACACATCAATTGGTTGCCTTCTGCACAACCCCAACTGGGGCTGGGGTTCCAGCCTGCAACCCAGGTATATGCTCTTGACTGGAAATCAGACCTGCAACCCTTTCAGTCCTTGAGCTGATACTCTAAAAACTGAACCAAACCAGCTAGGATTTAAATGTATTTTTAACTGTGCAAACAATAAGATTAGTTTAAAAATTGTCCTTTAAAAAAACTGCACTTTGGTTATCTTGTTGATGTTAAGTCATTTAGGTGCATTGGTGTTTTGTTTTGTTTTTTAATCTTTTTCTATATTGGATTTTAGAGAGAGATAGAAACATCGATGAGAGGACCTTAGCCGGTTTGACTCAGTGGTTGGAGCATCAGCCTGTGGTCCAGAGAGACCCGGGTTCAGTTTCCGCTAAGGGCATGTACCTTGGTTGCAGTTTGTCCCCGGCCCTGGTTGGGTCGTGCGGGTGGCAACCACTTGATGTGTCCCTTTCATGTCGATGTTTCTCTCTCGCTCACTCCCTCCCACTCTGTCTGAACAAAAAATGGGAAAGTGTCCTTGGGTGAGGATTAAAAAAGAAAGAAAGAAAGAAACATTGATGAGAGAGAACATTGACTGGCTGCCTCCGGCCCCCCACTGGGGACTAGGTCCACAACCTAGGCAATGTGCCCTGACCGGGAATCAAACTGACCTCTTGATGCATGGCATGGTTTGATGCTCAACCACTGAGCCACACCGGCCGGGCTGTTTTTTTTGTTTGTTTGGTTTTTTTTTACTCCTCACCCTAGTACATTTTTTGATATTTTGTTCAGATAGAGTGGGAAGGGGGAGAGAGAGAGAGGGAAACATCGACGTGAAAGGGACACATCGAGTGGTTGCCACCCACATGACCCAACCAGGGCCGGGGACAAACTGCAACTGAGGTAAATGCCCTTAGCGGGAACCGAACCCGGGTTTCTCCAGACTGCAGGCCGATGCTCTAACCGCTGAGCCAAATCGGCCAGAGCTGTTTTTTGTTTTTAACCCTTGATGCGTAATCATCCTTGTGCATGTCTGAGTGTGCATGTAACTATTTCTCTAGGTAGTTACTTAGAAGTGAAATTACCGATTGAAGATAATTTACATTTTAAATAACCACTAAAGAAGTCTACCAACACAGGCTCCCACACCTGCTAGCAAACTAGTTGATAAGAGTGGAGGCTTTTGGAATGTGCCAGGCACAGTGAGGTGTTAGTTTGGATGAAGGTCATGGATATTAGAAATTGAAAGTAGTTGAAGTTCAGGAATCTTAGAGGGAAAGTATAAAACATCACTGGCATTTATTGTTTTCTTCCAATTACTCAGTTAAGTTTCAAAAAGTCAGCACTTAGCCTCATTTATCATGCAGAATTCATCTTAATTCTTATTTAGGTTCACTATAAATTTGTGTTGATCTGAAATTATTTTTTAAAATCTTTTTCTCTAGGGAATCTGGAAACCCCAGAAAATACCAAATCCAGATTTCTTTGAAGATCTGGAACCTTTTAAAATGACTCCTTTTAGTGCTATTGGTTTGGAACTGTGGTCCATGACTTCGGACATTTTTTTTGACAACTTTATCATTTCTGGTGATCGAAGAGTAGTTGATGATTGGGCCAGTGATGGATGGGGTCTGAAGAAAGCTGCTGATGGGGCTGCCGAGGTTTGTGCTTGCTTGTTTCATGTGCATTTATATCTGCAGTTGCAGGTAACTAATTGCTACTTTTGCAAAAACCAATTGTCGACTGTTTGTCTTTTCCCTTATTTGGGAATATTGGCATAAAAAGTGATCTTATTCCTACTAAAGACAAAACCTTGGGTTTTTGGACATGATTGCTTTAGTCTAATGCAATAGCTTTAGAATCTACTTGTGTTATGTGTAGGGTTTTTTTTTGTTATTACTGTTTTAAAATATATTTAACCTGAAAGGGTATATTTTAATGTACTCTTATAGTTTGAATCTTAATTTACCCAATATGTGGAATTTTCAAACAACTATGGTCAAATGGCTGAGCTATGAATTGGAGAGCCAGAAGCATTAAGATCTAGAAATTCTTCATTCACAGGTTCCTGAAATTAAGTCTTTTGCTGGTGATTAAGAAGCAAGCTTCCATACCCATGAAAGAGAAATCACCTTGATAATATGGAGAACAGGAAAATTGAGGATTTTCTCTTTTTTTTTTTTCCCTCACCCGAGGACATTTTTGCATTTTTATCTTGAGATAGGGAGGGAAGGAGAAAGGGAGGAAGAAAGAGAGAGAGAGAGAGAGAGAGAAACATCGACGTGAGAGACACACATCGAGTGGCTGCCACCCACACGACCCTAACTGAGGCCTGGGACAAACTACCGAGGTACGTGCCCTTAGCGGGAACCGAACCTGGGACGCTCTGGTTCGTGGGCCAACGCTCCAACCGCTGAGCCAAACCAGCCAGAGCGAGGATTTTCTCTTATTTCCTTTTTTTTTTTTGCTATATGAACATCTTGGCTTGACCCCTTTGGAAAAGGTGGAGCCTGAGTAGTAGCATGTAGTCATTGATCAGTACTGCCTATGTTTTGTGTCAAAAACCAGAACTTGAAACCTGTCATGTCTTATTTTTCAGCCAGGTGTAGTGGGCCAGATGCTGGAGGCAGCCGAGGAGCGCCCTTGGCTCTGGGTAGTCTACGTTTTGACTGTAGCACTGCCTGTGTTTCTCGTAATCCTATTCTGCTGTTCTGGAAAGGTATGAGGATTGGTTTGGTTTAGTTTTGAGTCACTTTTAGAAAGAACTTTTATGAGGTTAAAAAATAAGATATATTGCCCGAGGTAGCAGCTTGATAGTGACTGAACCACATTTGATGTTGACTTCTGAAACCTTATTCACTACTCTTCAGCAGCCATGTATTGTGCCCAGATGGGAGTAGCATGTGTAGCCCTTTTATTTCTAGAGAGAGGAAGTGAGAGATAGAAACACTGATGAAAGAGAACATTGATTGGCCGCCTCTTGCATGCTCCCCACTGGGGATTTTGGCCCACAACCTGGGAATGTGCCCTTACTGGGAATTGAACTGGCGACCTTGGTGCATGGGACATTGCTCAACCACTGAGCCATACCAGCTGAGCTCTGGTAGTATTTAAACCACTCTCTTTAATATTTGGCAGCACCTTTCTGGGGCAGGGAGGGAAACAACAACAAAAAACTTAGATATAAATCTGGCTGTCTTGGCATAAACCAGCTTTTCCTCTTGCTGCTTGTATTCATACACTTTATAATTCAATCTTTGATTTCTTGTTACCAGTTTCTCCCTCAACATCCCTATCCCACCCCCCACAAATACATGTTGGGGAAAACAGCCTTATTTTAGTTTTTTTTGTTCAGCCTTTGTTACATGCAATCAAAAAAAAAATTTTTATTTAGGCTCTCTACTTAAGGATTATGCTTCACCTTGTATTCAAGATGGTCTGTAATCTGATCTCCAAAGTGCCTTTTCTAGCCTTGTTCCCACCACTATTCTGCCATTGTGCCTTAGTTACTGTGACTATTTATTTATCTATTTTTATCATTTTTAATCCTCACCCAAGGATATTTTTCTATTATTTTGTTCAGATTTTTTTGCTGTTGTTGTTCAGATAGAGTGGGAGGAGAGAAAGGAAGAGAGGGAAAGAGAGAGAAACATTGATGTGAGAGGGACACATTGACTGGCTGTCTCCTGCACAACCCCAATCAGAGCCGGGGATGAACTGCAACCGAAGTACATGCCCTTGGCCAGAATTGAACTCGCGACTCATTGGTCTGCAGGCCGATGCTCTAACCACTGAGAAATACTGTCCAGGGCTACTGTGACTGTTTAAACCTGCATGGTTCTGTCTTTCTATTGTTCCTTTTATCTTTTTTTTTATTTTTTGTTAATCCTCACTCGAGGATATTTTTTTATTGCCTTTTTTTTTTTTTTTTTTTTTTAAGAGAGCGTGGAAGGGGAGGAGAGAGAGAGAAACACTGATGTGAGAGAGATACATCCATCAGTTGCTTCCCACACAAGCCCCAATCGGGGCTGGGGGATCAAATCGGCAACCCAGGTATGTACCCTTGACTGGGAATCTGAGACCCTTCAGTCCATGGGCCAACACTCTTAACCGCTGAGCCAAACCAGCCAGGGTTGTTCCTTCTATCATGAAACCCCCATACACTTTTCACTCAAGAAAAGACTGTCAGGGCAGGAAGTATATCTTACTCATTTCTATATATCTACCCTAGTATACAGCCTGGTACAGAACTTTGCTCATAGGCATTCAATAATTATATGATAATGTATTATATAAAATGTGAACAAAGTGGTTGTACTGTGGGGAAATATTTCAGAAACAGTCCAGTCCTGTGGAATACAAGAAGACTGATGCTCCTCAGCCAGATGTGAAGGAGGAAGAAGAAGAGAAGGAAGAAGAAAGGAACAAGAGAGATGAAGAGGAGGAAGGTGAAGAGAAACTTGGTAAGAAGTAGATTCAAAAATATCTCTTTCAGCCAAGACCTTAAGATGTTCAAACGCTTATAAGCAAGTTACTGTAAAGGTTGTTTTAGACTCTCAAGGTATATTCTAATGCTAATTATCTAATTACCCAAAACAAGTATAAGGTTTGCTGAGTTGTTTTACTTTGACTTCTGTCTCAGAAGAGAAGCAAAAAAGTGATGCTGAAGAAGATGATGACACTGTCAGTCAAGAGGACGGAGATAGGAAATCTAAAGCAGAGGTAACAGAAAGGGGATGTATATTTTGTATTTTAAACATATAGGTTGAAGGTACGTTTAAGTAGAGGGAGTATTTTCATCGGGTAATTTTCAATGGCCATGGCTGTAAAAAAAATTCTGTTAAAGCCCATTTTATAAAAGTGAAATTCTTAGAATTATAGGTCAGCATGTTATAACTTCAGATTATATCTGAATCTCAGAAGTGTTTTTTTGGATATTTTTCTATTAATTTTCAGACAGAGTGGGAGGGAGGAGGGGAGAGAGCGCGAAAGAAAGAAACATCAATGTGAGAGACACATTGATTGGTTGCCTCCCACACGACTCTGACCAGGGCTAGGGACCAAACTACAAACTTGCCCTTGACTGGAATTGAACTTGTAACTTTTTTTTATCCTCACCCGAGGACACTTTTTTTTTGTTTGTTTTTTGTTCAGATAGAGTGGGAGGGAGGTAGAGAGAGAGAGAAAGAGAGAGAGAGAGAGAGAGAGAGAGAGAGAGAGAGAGAGAGAGAGAGAGAAACATCGACTTGAAAGGGATACATCGAGTGGTCGCCACCTGCACGACCCAACTGGAGCCTGGGACAAACTGCAATTGAGGTACATGCCCTTAGCAGGAACCAAACCTGGGCCTCTGGACCGCAGGTCGGCGCTCTAACCGCTGAGCAAAACCTGCCAGAGCATAAAATGCTTTCTAAGGTAGCAACTGTAGGTTATTATTTTACAGTCTGTCTCTTCATCTACCTCTCCTCACTGTGCCCTTAAAAAGTATTTCTTGAACAAATCACTGCATTCTAAAATTTTTGTCCCTGATGCTCATGGATTTATTTATTCAATAAATATTTGTGGGGTGCCCATTATATGCCAGTATTGTCAGTGAACAAGACAGACAGATAACCTGCCTTTGGGGAGCTTAATTTCTAGTGGGAGGAAACAGACAATAAGCAGTAGACATTATAAGGAAGCAAGTGAACAAACGTTGGAAATTGATAGGCCATGAAAAATAAAAGTAGGATAGGAAAGGATATTGGAAGTGCATTGTTAAAGATGGTAGGCCTCATTGGAGAGGTGACATTTGAGTGATGACTTGAAATAGATAAAGGACTTTTCCATGGAGATGTCCACGGGAAGAGCATTCCAACAGAGAGAACAGCCAGTACAAGGGCCTAAAATGGTAATCTGAAAGGCCAGTATGGTCAGAGTAAGCAAGCGGAGGATGGGGAAAGCTCCAGATTAAGTGGGGTCTCTTAGGCTGTTGTATGGGCTTGGCTTTTTCTCCTAGTTTAATGGGCAGCCATTGCAAGATTTAGGGGCAAGTAGTGACTCAGTCTGATTACTCCGGCTGCTGTGTTTTCTATAGACCAAGGAGAATCATGGAGACTAGTTAGGAGGTTGCTGTGATAATCCAGGTGAGATAAGGTGGTCTCAAGCAGGGTGATAGGAAAGAGGGATGTGGGCTTTTGGATCTGGATTTTTCTGGTGGATTGGATATGAAGTATCAGGGAAAGAGAATGATCCACACCTTTCTTACCAAGGTCCCTTTTCCAAGTACTTGTCTATTTCATTATGTTTCTTTCTGGAAAACTACCCAGTATCCATCTCCAGCTACTGCTATTCTGCCTTCCTATTGATAAAGGTCAACACTGTTTATATTTTCAGTAGATATATTCTGTCTCGACTAAAATGTTGAGTTCTTCTCAGGTAGGGTCCAATCTCACATACATTTTATATTCCCCATGCTTCAGAAGTCCCTGTGTAGAATAGGAAAAGTACCAGGCTTGTCTTGAGTGCCACACGGGACTTGGCTTGGCTAATGTTCCATCCATGAAATCCAGCTTTCTCAGCCTCAAAATGGAGCTAATGTGTCCACAGGCCAGTAGATTCTTTAGGATTAATCAAGATGATATGTGAAAGCATGGTGTCTTGTTCTTTTAAATGTTTATGGGTTGGTTGAGAAGAGTGCATTTTTACGGAAAGAAAACAAAAAAGATTATATTAAAACACATAATCCCACCACCTCCAAGACATGCACAGTGCATTTTCTTCTAGTCATTTTTCTTCTCTTGTTTTTCCTTCAGATGAAGTTGCCCTCAGCCTGGCAGATTTTAAAAACTAGGTGAACTTTTCTTAATATGCTAATTATAATGAATTTCTTTTGTTTTCAACCAATAGGAGGATGAAATTTTGAACAGATCACCAAGAAACAGAAAGCCTCGAAGAGAGTGAAACTATTTTAAGAACTTGATCTGTGATTTCCTCTCCCTCCTCCCTCCCATTCCTCTGCAAGTGTGGTCCTAGGAGAGGACCTGGCACACCATAGGTTGAAACTCAAAAACCTCCAGATGTCACCTTCAGCAGTTTCAGTCGAACACTAGCCTACGTAATTTTAAACATCTAGCAGTAAATAATTGCAATTGTGACAAAAAGGACCCTGTTTCTGTAGAAAGAAAGCATTTAACAATGGTTGTGAAATGTAACATGAAGCAACTAACTTGTGTTGTTTTTGTTGTTGTTTTTAAACATCTTTTTGTTTGTTTTTTAAATAGAGTGATAGAACTTTGGTATTCTTTAAAATCTTGGCTTAATTTAATATATTAATGTGTCCATGCAGAAATAATACCAACTTTTAGAAATGCTAGGGGGATGAATCACAATTTTTATAACCAATTTTGAGTTTGGTATATTACAAAACATTCAAGTATCTCTGTCCCTTAAAATTGATAATCATATTTAAAGTGCAGTTGTTTGTGGTTATAATCTTGTGTTGCTTGCTTCCATTACTCAATTCTTCCTAAAGAAATTGAGGAGAGGGATTGGATGGGTGGAAGCCCACATTTATATAAAGGCTCTGTTTAAATATATTAAAAAGAAAAAAACTTTTCTCTAGATGTTGGTTAGACCATAAAGTGTGTATTCTTGGAAGAGCTCAGTGCACAGACAGCTTTGCAGTTAGTGGAGGAGGTGGCATTCAGGCCTTTGTATTCTACACATCAGGCATGTCTGGGCTACAGCCTTCTTGAGCAGGTGGCTTTTTAAGGACTGCTACCAAGACGTGAGCTCCAGAGTAAATGCAGGTGTTTTCTTTTGAATATTTTTTTATTGATTTTAGAGAGAGAAGAAGGATGAGGGAGAGAGAGATAGAAACATCAATGCATGTCCACCTCCTGCATGTCCCCCACTGGGGATTTGGCCCACAACCTGGGCATGTGCCCTGACCAGGAATTGAACTGGCCACCAAGGTACATGGGTCGACAGACAACCACTGAGCCACACCGGCTGGGTACATGCAGGTGTTTTCGTCCCATCTTCCACTCTGTTGACACTGTTTCCTTCCATTTCCCCAGATTCCCACCTTTCTCCTCTGCTATGCATTTTCTTCACAGCGCAGCTTGCTGTCCATTGCTGAGAATGATTATAAGCTCTGCATAGTGTTAAGCTTTATTGTGATTATGTGTATATTTCTTTTTTAAGAAGACCTACACTTTTCCAGAGTCAAAGTACAGAATAGAATGCTTTTTTTTTTTTTAACCCATTTCTTTTACTCTGTGTAAAGACTAGAAGTCTAATCCAGGCATGAGCCAATTCAAAATTGACTGCAATTGAACACAGGCTAAAAAGTATTGATGGGAGAAGTGATGTAGAGCATGAGTTACCCAGTTTTTGTAGCTGCTAAACCTTTTCAGTTTTCATTTGCAGTTCATAACAGTTGTGTCTTACATTATATGATAAAGCCGTCCTGTTAAAAATAATTGTTTTGTATGTTGATTGTAAATTTTTTAAATATGTGATGTTAAGTTTGTTTTTTCATATGGAATGCAGATGGGTGCTAACAGAGCCTCTCCCCCATCACAATGTAATAATCTCATTATTACACCACACTGAAGTGTGTTCAGAATTAGATGTTCTTTTAGCTTTATTCTTTCTTCAGAGGTGTTTCAAATATACCGATGATACTGTTCCTTGCACTGAATGTATAAACACTCCAGAGTGTTTATATTGGGGAGATAATGTAGAGGAAGTATATTTGTAAAAGATGAAGGCTGTATCTGTTTATTTTGTTTATCTTCCATTTTTACCAGTTCACTTAAATTCTTAATGAGGGTAGGATGCATTTTTCTTGCTGTTCAGTGCTTTCTTCTTTTCATCTGTTGTTCTGTTGTCACAGTGAACTTAGCTATGTAGCAGACTTTCCCAAATGTATTGAGTGCAAATAAAGTTACTTAGCAAGACATCAAAATATGTCTGCAGGTTTCTCCTTTGAAGCAAATGTGTGGGGTCATTGCATTTCCAGAAATCTGCCTCCTTCATTCATTGATATTTCATGCCTCACAGTTTCTTCTGGCTGAGCTGTGGAATGACAAGTCTAAATCGGTAGAGAGTTTCGTTTGCCTTTCCAGGGTTATTTAGCCAAGTTTGTTCAAAACAAAGTATTTTCTTGGTTCTCATTTTCACTCTTTTTGTTTAAGTTGCAACCTCCTGACTAAATAAATGTCTGACATATTAATGAATGACCAGCTGCAATTTTCAACATTCTGGTTATCTGTAAAATGCCCACTCCATCAGATGCATTCCTCAGTTTCTCTTGTCCACAAAGTACTTTCCACTTTTCTCAAATTGTCACATTACTAAATGGTATTACATTAAAGCCCTGTGTTAAGCATCTGCTTTTGACTGAACTTCTTCATAGTAATCTTTAATTCATGTGTTTTACTGTTTCAATGTGGGTTAGTCTTCCTTTAATTGGCCGCTACATGAGAGTTTGCAATGTGTAGAAACTACTATGAACAATGGAATAATTACAGTCGTCCCTTGGCATCCAAAGGGATTGGTTCCAGGATCCGCCCATAAATACCAAAATTGGAGGATGCTCAAGTCCCTTACATAAAATGGTACATAGTATTTGCATATAACCTACATTTTCCTCAAATACATTATCTCTAGATTACTTAGACCGAATACAATGAAAATGCTGTTTAAATAAATAGTTGTTAAACGTTATCGTTTAGGAAATAATGACAAGGAAAAAGTCTGTACATGTTCAGTACAGATGCAACCTGCAGCCATCATAGGCCTAACTACATAGCACACATCAGCAGCAATGAAACTTTTTTCCAGATGTTTTCCATCCTTGGTGGTTGGTTGAATTTGAGTGTGGGGAACCCTCTGATAATGAAAGCCAACTATACTTCTCTCACCACTAGGATTTGGTCCAATCAATTCAATGGACATTTTGCCTCCTTTCCTGCAGGATTGGGGTTCAGTAGTTTCTGTTGTGTCATAGGGATAACAGCTCAGAAAGGGAGGGGTAATATGTAAAATATATATATATATATATATATATATATTGTTTTTTAATCTTCACCTAAGGACATTTTTGCATTTATCTCCAGATAGAGCAGGAGAGAAGGGGGGGAAGAGAGAGAAACATCGACGTGAGAGAGACACATTGATTGGTTGCCACCCATACAACCCCAACTGGGGCTGGGGACAAATTACAAACGAGGTACACACCCTTAGCGGGAACCAAACCCGGGACTCTGGTCCACGGGCCTATGCTCTAACCGCTGAGCCAAACTGGCCAGGGCATGTGCTTTAAGATTCATGGGAACCGCCCTGGCCGGTTTGGCTCAGCGGTTAGAGCGTCAGCCTGCGAGAGACCTGGGTTTGGTTCCCGCTAAGGGCATGTATCTTGGTTGTAGTTTGTCCCCTGCCCTGGGTGAATTGTGCGGGTGGCAGCCACTCGATGTGTACCTTTCACGTCGATGTTTCTCTCTCTCTCCCTCCTACTCTGAACAAAAAATGGAAAAATGTCCTTGGGTGAGGATAAAAAAACAAAATGATTTATGGGAACCAATGAACTTTTAAATATTTATTAGAAAATTTTTATTCAGAATCATGTTTTACATATTCTTATTTCAGGGAGGTTTTTGAAAAGTAGGCCAAAACTTTTTTTTTTAATGTGCTGTTAGGGTTTTGGGGTGTTACTGAAGAGAAATAGACAAAAAGTAGTGCTTCTTTTACTTAGTTTTCCTATTAGGAAATATTTAGCCCTGGGCCGGTTTGGCTCAGTGGTTAGAGTGAGTGCTGGCCTGCGGTTCAGAGAGACCCAGGTTCAGTTCCTGCTAAGGGCACGTACCTCGGTTGCAGTTTGTCCCCAACCCCGGTTGGGTCATGTGGGAGGCAGCCACTCCGTTTCCCTTTCACATCCATGTCTCTCTCTCCCACTCTATCTGAACAAAAAAATGGAAAAATGTCCTCCGGTGAGGATTTAAAAATATATATATATAATCCTGGTGTACAATTTATATGTTTAAAGACTGGTAAAAAGCAGGACCACATTATGACATTTATGATCCCTAAGCACTTTGCCTTGGAAGGCCATTTGTAACTTTTTGCTGCATTTGTATAAAAACATTAGCCCAGCCCTTGTGGCTCAGTGGATTGAGAGGTCCCAGTTCCATTCCCGGTCAGAGCACATGCCTGGTTTGTGGGTGCGATCCCCAGTAGGGGGTGTGGAGGCAACCAATCCCTGATGTTTCTTTATCTCTCTCCCTATCTAAAAAATTAGTGAAATATTAAAAAACACTATTTGAAGGATTTTTTTCTTATTTTAAAATAAAACATTTTCGTGGGCCGTAGTAAGAAGTTACCTTAGCAGCTGTTTGAACTGTTAATGGTACCTCTAAACATGCAGCCTCCTGGCACCTTCTATTTAACTTTTTAGCAATTAAGGTTCCTAGTATCTCGTGGCCCAACATAGACTATCTAGTTTTGTTGCGGCGTCATTGATCCCGTATTTATTCCTAGTGTCCCTTTCCCTTATAGCCTGCTAGTTACACTACTGGAGCCTAATTGCCTTTGGTTGGATATTGAGTGACTCGATTTTACCTAACAGACCCATCTTTTGAATGTAAGGCTTGCGAACCATGCTCCTCGGTTTTGACTCAATTGTCATCCTTTGCGGTTCTAGCCCCCATTAATGGAGGTAGACTCTCCTCACACCCTCTTCCTCACGTGTGCTGGGGCTTTATTATTATTTTTGTAAGTAAGTTGTTCAAAGTTTTATATAAAAGTGGGAATTGACAGTCTGAATGATTCAGAATGGTGAGAGAGGAAACCTTTTCCAGCTCACTCGTGAAATTCTGACCGATTAAGAGGCTGGATGTAAAGAACGAGGTCGAAGGAAAACGGCTGACATTAAAAAAGCGTGGCTACTTTTGAGTTTAATCTGAGCCAATTTCAGAAAGGCTGCCAGAGAAGAAAATGAAGTGCATTAGTGCCGGGCGGCGTCTAGGTCTGGCCAGTTGCACCGCGCCTACTGCCCGGCTCTCCACCTCGGACCCGGAAGGGCCTGCCCCCCCGGAAGGGCCTGCCCCCCCGGGAGGGGGGGGCGGTGCTCAATACGGGCTCCCGTTTGTCTTACTTGGCTGGGTGCCTCAGGGCTAAGGCCCGCCCCTTACGTGAAGGTTCCTTTAAAGTCCGTAGTGGAGCTCCTCTGCACCTCCGGCGTGCTTACCCCCGCCCCTCGGGCGGCCCGCTCCTCCTATTCTTATTGGTCGCAGTCCCTGCTCATCAGCCATGACGTCGGGGTCGCCAGCCGGGGTCCTGCCCTCTTCCGAGAGCCTTGAAAACAATTTTAAGATGGCGGCTACGGCGGCGCGGAAAACAATGGGTTTGGGTTGGCGGGGCCAGGCCAAGGCCTGAGGTGGCCAACGAGCGCCCGTCGGGGTCGGGCTAAGCGGGGCCGCAGGAAGACCCGCTGCCGCGCGCGAGCCTGCTCTGCAGCTCGCGGGGCTATGGCGCGGCCGTGAGGCGGCCGGCCGCCGGCGGGGAGCGGAGCCCGCAGTTCCAGCCGGCCTGAGAAGCCCGGCCCGTGCCGCCCTTGGCCCATGGTGCTGCCCACCTGCCCCATGGCGGAGTTCGCGCTGCCACGGCACAGTGCGGTCATGGAGCGCCTCCGCCGGCGCATCGAGCTGTGCCGGCGCCACCACAGCACCTGCGAGGCTCGTTACGAGGCTGTATCGCCTGAGCGCCTGGAGCTCGAGCGCCAGCACACCTTCGCCCTGCACCAGCGCTGTATCCAGGCCAAGGCTAAGCGCGCTGGCAAGCACCGGCAGCCGCCCGCCCCGGCCGCAGCCCCGCCTCCGGCCCCGCGCCTCGACGCTGCCGACGGCCCCGAGCACGGCCGCCCCGTCGCGGTGAGTAGGGCGCGGGGAGCGGGCCCTTCCGCGGAGACCGGTCGCTTCCGCGGAGACGCTTCTCGTGCCTCGCTCGGGGCAGGCGAACCTGGCAGGGAACTGAGCGGTTGTCACCTGCGGCAAATGGCACAGTGGCATTAGTTTGGGAAAACATGACCGTAAAGACCGTACGTTAGGGCTCCGGCTGACAAGACTGGTGAACGACAGCTGACAAGTTTTCTTTCCAGCATTGATTCCGAGATTTTGAGAACTTTCTTTAACATTATGTCCTTACGAGTGGCCTGTGACAGAGGCCTTATTTATTCTGAAAATGTTTAATGGGTCCTTGCTGTTTGCTGGTTTAACGTCTTACATATGGAAACCAGTCTACATTCAGTTGATCAAACTGTTCCAAAAATCTTTGGAAACCTTGGCAAAAGTATGTCTTGTTTAGGCACCCCTGCAATATGTGAATTTGTGAGTCCAGCAACGTTGTGAATCCAGCAATGTTGTGGACAATTTCTAGTGATTTTAAGAGTTTGTTGGTAAATTATTTTGCGCACCTTTGTGTTCTCAGTAACTATTGGAGGGATTTGTTGGTTAGAGGTTTTCTTCCCTGAAACTGACTTATAAAAGGGAGAGAACAAAGGTTTTGTTTTGTTTTGTTTTGTTGGTAATTTAAAGCTTAAAACAGATGTCAGCAATCTAACTTATTTTTTTTTTCTTTATTGGTTTTAGAGAGAGAAAGGGAGAGGGAGAGAGAGATAGAAATATGGATGAGAGACAACATCGGATTGGCCGCCTCCTGCATGCCCCCCACTAGGGATTGGGCCGACAACCTGGACATGTGCCCTGACCAGGAACCTAATCAGTGACCCTTGGTGCATGGGTCGATGCTCAGCCACACTAGCCATGCCATTCTGTGTATTTTTTAATGCATGCCTTTATTACCTTTCACCTGGGCTGTTGCAGTGCCCATCCCTAACTAGTCTTCAGGTATTTGGTCTCTTTTCCTCTCTAACTGCTGTGTCCTCCACTGGTCCAATACCCTGGTTGAATTATTTTCTGTATTCTCTCCCACATTAGTCTGGGTTGCTGGACATTTAATTGATTATTGCTTATCGACTAGTCAAGTCTTCTGGTTCTCACTTTTCTCATCTATAAACTGCAGATATGTTGAGCTTATCCTCCAGGAGGGTCCTTTCCTCCTCCCAACCTTTCAGAATCCTGCCATCCTTCAGATCTAGCTAATCTTCCTCTTCTTTTTTTAAATTCATTTTTTATTCTTTGTTGATTTGAGAGAGAGAGAGGAAGGGAGGGAGAGAAACATCAATTTGTTGTTCCACTTAGTTACCCATTTATTGGTTGATTCTTTTCTGTGCTCTGACCAGGATCAAACCTGCAACTTTGGGGGGAAGCTCTAACCAACTGAGTTACCCGGCCAGGGCAGTCTTACTCTTCTTGAAAGCTAGTTTCTGACCACAGTAGCCCACAGCAATCAGGATCAACTTGGTCAAAACTTAAGAAACTAATTGTCTCTGCCGTTTATTTTTAGCATGTAGTCACATAGTACTTTGGCCATGTCTTTCCAACTAGACTGTAAGTAAGCCCTGGGAAGAAGGAAGAGGTTTGGCTCAGAGTTCCTTACACATTTTGGGCCCTCAGCATGTGTTTATTGAGTGATTGATATCAAACTTGGTAGTACTTAGTAATTTATCCTCCTTTGTGCTTACCTCATAAAGCAAAATGGCTTAACTTTATGATCCCTTTACTTAACAACTCTTGTTCTAAGGAAACACTTTAACAGTAGCTGGTGGTCATTCCAGTTTAATTAATGAAAGATCATAAAAATCTTAGTTTACACAAAAATAGTTGCCTTGAACACTACCTGGAAGGTATATTAGTGATGATTCAATATGTTTAAAGAGAGTGAAAGTTTAGACCTTACATGATATTTTTAGTCCTAAATTACTGGAGAGAAATTTGGCATGTTTGAAGATAAATTAATTCTGAGTGTGTTAGAACTTGAATCAGACTTGTCAGTTATTCCTTTGGGTGTCAGAGCCTGATCAGATGTGTCATGCTATGTTGATATCTTGTCACATTAAACATTGAACCATGGATTTCATGAATTTAAACTTTGGAGTGGAAGTGCTCTTCTGTCATCTCCCTGCTAGGAAGAGGACCCCTTTTCACTTCAGTCTCCCAAGTTATTCTAGCTGAGGTCTTCAGCCTTGAAATGTGTTGGAATGAGATCCTAGGAATGGGAAGGTTAGTGGGTTTTCTGTTTTAGTGGCTCCTTCAGTTCAGAGGGGGAGAGAGACCTTGCCTGGGTAGGACTTGGGCCTGGAGAGAGAAGGTGCCTCTTAATTATTGTTACTTATTTTTTTATCTTCACCTGATGAATTTTTTGCATTTATCTTCAGATGGAGCCGGAGGGAGAGAGGGAGGAAGACAGAGAGAGAAACATCAATGTGAGAGAGACACATCAACTGGTTGCCACCCATATGACCCCAACTGGGGCCAGGGGACAAACTGCAACCAAGGTACGTACGTGCCCTTAGCGGGAACCAACCCAGGTCTCTCTGGTCCACGGGCTGATTCTCTAATGCTGAGCCAAACCAGCCAGGACAAAAAACATTATATTTCTTATTGTTTTCCAATTGTACTATTGTACTGTTAGGCAGCTGTTTCATAACTCCAGTTACCATCCGTGAACTATTTGTACAGCTGGAAAGGGATCAAATTTACTGATAAGCCCTGGCTGGTTTGGCTCAGCGGTTAGAGCATCGGCCTGTGGTCTAGAGAGACCCAGATTCGGTTCCCGCTAAGGGCACATACCTCGGTTGCAGTTTGTCCCCCACCCTGGTTTGGTTGTGCGGGTGGCAACCACTCAATGTGTCCCTTTCACATCGATGTTTCTCTCTCTCTCTCTTCCTCTTTCCCTCCCACTCTGAACAAAAAAATGGAAAAATGTCCTCTGGTGAGGATTAAAAAAAAAAATTACTAATAAGAGTTTACCTTCAGGCCCTAGACTGTTTGCTCAGTGGTTAGAGTGTCAGCCCGCTGAACAAAGAGTCTCGGATTCGATTTTGGCCAAGGGCACATACCTTGGTTGCGGTTCGTCCCTGGCCCTGGTTGGAGTTGTGAGGAAGGCAACCAATCGATGTATCCCTCTCACATCAGTGATTCACTTTCTCTTTCTCTCTTTCTCCCATTCTATCAGAATATATTTGAGAAAATATCCTCAGGTAAGGATTAAAAAAAAAGAGTTTACCTTCAGGTTTTTTCTTCTCTCAAGGTATCCCACCACAGCAAATTCTAACTAACCACTCTCTGCTTACTCTGTTAAAGATGCGTCAGAAACAGTGTTTCAGACCCTATAGTTGTCAAGGAATGACCTTGTTTTCTTTATGCTGTGTGTGCTCTTTCAAAACCAAATAGTAGTTTTCTTTTCTTTCTTTTAAATTTATCTTTATTGTTGAAAGTATTACAAATATCCCCTCTTTTTACCCCCATTACCTCCCTCCCAAATAGTAGCTTTCTAATGACAGTTAGGAATGTTGGATTATAGAGAATTATCCACCCACTTTATATAAACATTCATTCTGTAGTGAAAATAGCCATTTACAATAGCTTGAACATTTTTATTTAGTAAAATGCTCTAAAGGTTTATGCCTGTCCCCTTGTCCACCACTGTTACTCTTTTGCTGCTTACTCCCTAAGTAGTTGGGATAGTCTAAGTAGAAATTTGACGATGCCAGATTTTCAGTTTCATGGAGGTTGCCTTCCCTGCTTAACTTAGGTGTGCAAAATTTCTTTCTATTTAACTTTCTATTTCATATTTAAAACTTAGAGAAAAGCTTCACAAATATTAGAGAACACCTGTGTACTCTTCACTTACATTCTACCCACGGTCACCAGTGTGCCCAATTTGCTTTTCATTTGTATGCATACTCTCATTCTCTCCTCTACACCTCCCCCCCACCTTTGTTCTCCCTCCCTCCCTCTTCCCTGTCTCCACCCCCCCCCCTTTCTTTCCCTATCTAAAACTTTTATTCTCTAAACTACCTGAGAGAGCACTGCATACCTCATGGCTCTCTACCCCCAAACACCCCAGTGTGTACCTGTACCTTCTAAGAGTTAAGAAAGATGTGCAGATTTTTAATAATGGTTTTATAGACTAAAACTATGTAATAATTATGCAAATAACAAATTATTTCCAAGAAGTAGATCTTTCTGATCATAAAACAGACATTGTACTGTAATCATGTGGGATCGTTTTAGAGGAAAGATGACTAATGTGGCTTTAAGAAGCCATCTCTCCCTATAACATCAGGGGCCTCATCCTAGCGTCCTCCTTTTTTTTTTTTTATCTTCAGTATCCCCTTTCCCACTACATCCTTCCTTTCAGCTTGAAAACACAACCAAATATTCTTTCTTTTGTCTTTTCTCACCCTCACAATAGTGTTCCATCTTCTTCCTTCCCTTTGCCCATTCCACTGAACTTCCCATTCCACTGAACACTAATTTTATGGACTATATTAAAGTGTCCATTGTGATCTGCCTTCTACCTCTTCTACTTTTCTGAAGTTGTCCCATTAAAGGACACCAAAGATGGAATTGACAAATTTGGTGGCTTCTTTAGTCATTCTTTTTGACTTACTCCTCCTTAAGACTTTTCTCTTCGCTCCTACCCTCTTCTGATTGTCTTTCCAGCTTTCTGACTGTTTTTCTGTCTCCTTCCTGCTTTCCCTTATTAATCCATGAAGCAAATATTTGAGTGTCTACTGTGGGTCAGAGTGTATTTTTAGCACTAGAAATACAGCAACAAACAGGACAAATTAAAATTCGGCTCATATGGATAAAGATCAATAATTAAAAAATTAATTTTTAGTTGTAATAAATGCTAAGAAAAGTTAAAAGAGTAGTGTGATACTGAGTAATTTACAGTAGCAGCTTTAGATAAGACGCTTTTTTAATCCTTACCCGAGGATGCTTTTATTGATTTTGGAGAAAGA